CATTTGTTTTGTTTACAATGTTTGCCATTCATGAAATGGTAATTCCAAGGATATCCCTGCCTGGCAAAGCATCTGAATGGATTGCATCAGCCATTGTGGAAGATTTCCCATTTTAGACCAAGAGGAATTTGTGGGGTCAGATGATGAACAATGAAAGGGATTCTTGCTCATTGCGAGGCCAGAGGAATCCAGTGGCAGTTGAGGGCCTGAATTGCAAATCCAACCTGTCATCTCCTTGTCAACTGCGAAAAACCTCTATTCACTTTAGGCACTAGTAGAGTTTGTTATTAGGGTTTTGTGTTGTTTTCCAAAAATTTGAAGGGAAATTAGACTCATGAGGCATTTAAGTGAACACTGAATCTGAACTTTGGGAAAGAGAAACAAAAAATAGAAACTTTCAAATGATTGAACAGCCAGCCACAATTATGACTGTAACTAACCAAAGTTATGGGTTCACTCCCTGTTCCTCAAAGGGCACTCTGTGGGGGCCACAAGCAGCTCACAAATGGCTAACAGACTGGATATCAGTGGTTTTGATGCTCATGGCAACATTAACAGACTGAATTTATGATGAATCAACACATTTACATGTGAAATTTAATGAAAAGTAGTTTTAACTCATTGTTTTCACCAAAAGCAACTTCACTTCCTCCCCCCCCCCCTGCTCCCCTACCCATTAAATCTGGGGAGATTTTTGGCCTTAACTGGGAACAGGGGGAATGAGGCCTGCACAACTTTCTGCCTCGCTGTACACTTGGTTCTAGGCTAAAGAAGGTTGAGAACCACTGCCGTAGGAATAGAGAAAAGGCAAGCTGTTTGAGAAGGTTTATTGTGATGATTCAGGATCCATTCCACAAATATTTATTGAACGCCTACTATTTCAGCTCTATGCAGTGTAGCCTGGGATATGGCCATTGCCAAACACCACTTGGTTCATTAGAATATACCAGCTAGAAAAACAACTGAATGGGAAATGAGATGATGAAGCCCCCTTTCTGAGACCCAAACGCAGAACACGCTGGCTGAAATCACCTCTGGGTGATCTGCCCCCACTTGATGGATGATAAAAGAATATATGTAGGGCCTTAGTAGGAGTCTTTTTAAGAAAATAATTATTACAATACGTTCTAGAAAAGAGCCATAATAATAGACCATAAAAATGGCTCTTGACTAATACATCAGACCAGATCATACTAGTTGATAAAAATAATGATGCCTGCACGATAGAGCGGCACCATTTAGTAAAACTACAAACGCCCACAAAGAAAGGAATGAGCAAGGATGTGCTGTTTGCAGAGGCTGAATGTGGGAACTGTGGAGCATCCAAATGAAGCAGTTGAAGTTCACACACATATCTACACACCCACTCAGACCTTATTAATCACTGAAAACTTATTTTAGCAACTGCCATTTTACCTTAGGACTTTCATTTCAGTACTGTGTTGCCAAATCATTTGGTCCATGGGATCCATAGCATGTGATAAATTGATACAGATGTATTTATGTTTAACAAGTAAAATAATAAAACGACAGGTAAGCATATTGATGACTGAACTCTAAACTATCTGATGGCAGACTCAGTCTTTCTCTGATTGATCAGATTCCTCTAAATGTAATGTCCATGCTATGAAGGCTCAATAAGACAGAGGAAATCTAAATGGCCGGTATCAAGTGAAATAGGTCAGATAGAAATAGTTAAGGACCATATGATTTCACTGGTATGTGGGGTATAAAAGTGAAAGCAACAAATGAACAAACAAGAAAAACAAACAACAAATCACAGACAGGGATAACAGTATGACAGTTACCAGAGGGATGGGGTGTGAAGGTAGTAAAGGGTAAGGGGATCAAATATATGGTGATGGAAGATTTGACTTTGCGTGGTGGGCACACATACAGGTGATGTATTATAGAATCATGCACTTGAAACCTATATACTTTTATTTACCAACTAGAGGCCCGATGCATGAAATTCGTGCGAGAGTAGGCCTTGCTTCCCTCTGGCACCTGGGGCCCCAGCTTCCCTCGCAGTCCTGGCTTCATCTGGAAGGTCTCCAGAAGGATGTCCAGTCCAATTAGCATATTACACTTTTATTATTATAGATGTTACCCCAATAAAACTAATTTAAAAATCTATATGACTGGACCTTATTCTGTCTCTAAGCATAGCATCAACGTATAATTCCATGTTATTTGTTACAGCTCATATGCAAATTATAACTAATAATTAATAAAAGGTAGCTAATGTTGGCACCAAGGAGAATTGCTAAATAATCACTTTTATGGGCTGGAATTTATGGGAAAAATCAGCATTTTGATGGACTATGGTTTGGAATAGAGTTGTGATTATGGTAGGAAAGTACTTTCCATAATTATGAGTCAGAGCTTAGTCATCCTCTCCTTTCACGTTGGCTTATTAATGTATCTCAAGTTAAGCAATAGCACTTTTAATCTTGACCATTTCTATTTGTTGATCATTAATCTAATTCGTTATCACTAGTTACTATTTTTGGATGTAGGCTGTAAATGTATTCATATGGAACTCTCCCATTTTTACTGTGATGTAATCTTAATGTTGATTAGTAATATTACGAATATTGGAATTCTTTTGTTACTTAGTCAACTAAAGCTCTGTGTGGTGCCCAGGAAAGACCCACCTTATAGCAAATGCTCTTTTAAAATAGTAAAGTGAGCTTCCAGTAAAGCTTGCCTGCAAACCTCCCACGTTTAAACACACCTTTGCATGCACAGACCTTTGTGCATAAGTTGGAAATGTCTTACAGGCCTCCTAACTGATCAGTGTGATTCAGGAATGAAGTTACTGAAGACTGATATCCATGCTTCCATCGTAAAGGAGGGAAAATTGAGGCCTGAAATAATTCAATGGCCTGGCACTGCTCAGGCAGGTCATGACCCCAGAGACAAAAAAAAGTTCCCGGGAAACATTTCTAAAACTTTACTAGAAAAACAAGGTAGATTTAATTAATGGAAAACCACATTACTCTGTTGTTTAATCACTCTTGAATCAAAATCATTCTTTTAGCTTTAAAGTCACCCTTTATTTTGAGGCTTAGAAGTAAGTTATCAGCGTTTACAGCAGAGAGGAGGGATGCTCCAAGAAAAGTGATAACAAAATTAAATGAATTAATGAGATATGAGAAGCTATTTAATTGCTCAGGACTTTTCTAAGACAAGTGCAATGAAAGCTTCTAAAGATATTTGTCATTTTTGTTGTTGTTTGTTTTGTCCTTCTAACTGTAATAGAGCAAGAGTTTAAACAATATGGCTGATATAAGCAAGCTGGAAAATTATGCTTAGTAAATGTGTTGACAGATGACCAATGGGAGGTATTACTAATGAAGATTGAAAAAGGCATTTTCCTGGCCAGGTAGCTCAGTTGGTTAGAGTGTCGTCCCAATACACCAACGTGTTACGGGTACAATCCCCGGTCAGAATATATACAAGAAGCAACCAATGGATGCATAAACAAGTGGAACAACAAACTGGTGTTTCTCTCTCTCTCCCTTCTCTCTCTAAAATCAATCAGTAAATCACAAAAAAGTGGCATTGCTTGGTGAAAATTGTACAATGAGGATAAATAGTGTTGTGAAGGTGGTTCACATTTTTAATTTTGTTTTTTTAACCTCTGACTAGCAATGTTATTTTAGGCAAGTCTTTTTACTTTGTGTTTCATAAAAGCAAAAGTATGCATTTCCCCATAATATATGTGAATTATATTCATATTTGGGGGAAGGGTATAATAACAAAAAAATTAGAACTGAGCTTTTTTTCCTTCAAGATAATAAAGTTTCCTTGGACAAACAATGACTATGACCTGAGTTGAAGCAGAACTCCCTCTTTCAAGGGCAAAGGTGATGTGAGACTCTCTGGAGTCACAAGTGGCATTTCAAAGAAGCAAATTGCTTCCCCTGCTCAGAGACAAAGCAATAGGTTTTAGTTTCACAGTAGAGCCATGTAGCTCCCATACACTCAACTTTAAAATTGCCAAAAAGTATGATTTAGAAAATGATTTAAATTGTGTAACAAAATGTCCATAGTACTTTTCATTATTTAAAATATTTATGTTACTGTATCCATTGGTAACCACAAAACCATGTATACTGTATTTTTATGAGCCTTTGGGAAGCTTTGCAAAGGTAATTTTGATTATGCTCAATTTTTGCCTAATGAATTTACCTTAGAACCTGACCCCAACATAAATAAGAAAAGACTACACTATAATTTAACATGTATCTGAGATCATAACACAGGGCTTCTCCCTGCAAAGCTACCTTATTCCAGATAACTTATCTAGAGCATAAAAGCAGAGCCTCAACCTAATATTAATTTCAAATTAGCCTATAAAACCAAATCAACAAAATATCCAAGGTGATGTATTTTTGCATTTTCTGAGTTACCCCTACATAATTGGATAGTTTTTGCTAAAGCATTACCAAATGCCTGAGATGAAAGGGAATTTAAGGCCCAGGCTCTCAGCAGGGTCATTTGCTAAGCTGGCTGCAGGACCTCTCTGCATCCCTTGGTCATACTGAAGCTCGGTGGTTTTGGTGACCATAGAGGAATCATTTGACCTGTTGCTCGGGTTGGTCCTCACACTAACGATTGTCCAGTTACTGCCACTTCCCTTACTGTCCTAAGTAGACCCCCCAAATGACAGGTGGGAACTTTGCTTTGGAATCCGCTTGTGCAGGTGAGGTCTTACCTGGTCACTACACAGTCCAGGTGGTTTTCCACAGGCAGGATTTTTACTGCACAAGCCCATGCCCTTTTTCTTTAAAGTACGGTAAATATGGCCTCCAGAAAACAGTAAGAATCCAGACTGCAGGGAGGCTAATGTTCATGTTCATGTTTTTCTCTTCTAATTTGGGAATTGGCATAGAGAGGGGGCTCCACGCACTGTTTTCCTCACGTTTCTCAGGTGGAAGCAGAAAATATTCATGGGTTTGTTTTCCTTTCTCCCTCTCCCACTGGCCCTTCAGATTTATGAGGAATCCAAGATGAATCTGGAGCAGGAGAGGCCATTCATCTGCAGTGCTCCAGGCTGCTCCCAGGTGAGTGTGGGGATCTTCTGCTCATCTTACAGGGGTCACACCTACCTTACAACAGGGGAGCAACTCTCTCTTGACAATCATGCCTGCTATGGGCTTTCATTTTTCACCAAGGTATCATATCGTCAAAGTCCCCCTTATCATCATCACCATCATCATCATTATCATCATCAGTGTGTTCATTTTTCATTTTGAATAGTTTGAACGACTTCCCTCATAATTTCTGAAAAACATCGGTGTTGGCCCCTTCCACCCATAACTTCTCCCTGGAAGTACGCTAGTTGCATCTTGCCCACCAGATGCTCAGGTTAGTTATTTCAGAAAGAAGGGAAGGAGGGTGGCTCCTGTTATAACAGCTACTTGAATATTGGCTCTTTGGTTTACTGGTGAAAGAGCTTACAATCAGTGGTAGAATTCTACTTTGTTTTGTTGTCCTATTTGAGTTAAATAAACCCCCTGTAACTCTTTGAAAACCTACAGTTTTTCTATTTATTTAAACTTTACGAGGGGAAGTTGGCCTACTGTGCTAGATTAAACCTCTTTTAGCCTCCAGCGGCTCCAAGCAAGTGGAATTGTGAGAATTAGATGAGATACTGCATGTAGTTTAGTATAGAGCCTGCACATAAGTGTTCAATTAATGTTTGCTGTTGTTACTACTCCTGCTGTTCTTATTATTACACTGGAACCTGTCCCTGGAAGAAATTGGAAATATCCATCATCTAACATCAAAGCGTTACATATTGTTTTTGGAATTTGATGGTAACTTTTTCTATACATGATCCTTTAAGTGTCTTCATGTTCCAGTCATTGGAAAGTGACCACATATGGTCACTCTCACGCCAAGATCTTCATTCTGTTGGATATAGGACAAGCTCAAAGCACAGGCTCTTTCCAATGTGGGTAGTTAAGCTCACTTGCCCTAAATTGCCCACTTTCCTGTGCCACCCTATTTATGTAGTGTGGTTGACAGCACCGCATATCCAGGAGTCAGATGAGAGATGATGTCTATTGAGGGCCCTTGTTATATCTCCCCAGAGAGTTTGGAGGGTCTGGGAGCCTTTTGGAGAGAAGACGCCATGGAAAAATGAATGTTGTTGCTGGTGCTGCCTTGTGGTGTTGCTAGTAATATCAGCCACTTGCTGAGAAACCAGAGTCCTTTGCTTGGATTCTAGCAAGTTCTCCCAGGGTTTTTTTTGTGTGAATGTTGATTTGCAACCTATAAATAAGAAAAGGAGTAGAAAAAATTATTTTGAATTTAAACTACTTTTCAACAAACTAATTTTGGAGGTCATTTTGAAATAGGAAACACTGGGACAACATAGATGGGATGATCCGTAACTGGGAAAATCCTACTATCCATTGTGAGTGCAGACAATGGCCTTACCGAAATAAGGTAATACTGGTTCCCTGTTAGTTTCCTTAGGAAGAAGTCTCAAGGGCCAAAGGGAACCAGAGAATTTGAGCATTATGCTTTGGTTTAGCCATGAAAATGTGACCTTAAGTTTTCTTCAGTTCAAGCCACTCAGCAAATTTTGGGGTGCCTACTATGTGCATAAGACATATGTATCTCTGTCCTCACAGAGCTTCTAGTCTAGGCATCATATCTGCAACCACATAATCAGTTAATCAGTTAATTTCTGAATTACAATTTTCCATGAAGGAAGAGTACAGGCCACCTTGAAGATGCCATAGGGGGATTTCCTTTCCTTGGGGAGGATAATTGGAGCTCCGCTATGGAAGGGGCATTTAACGGAATGGGATCCTCCAGGGATCTGGCATACTATAAACCAATGAGGTTCATAGCGAGTCAGGATTCCAGCAGAGCCCAGGTTGTGACTGGTAATAGAGGAGAGCCTTTGAAGAGGGTTGTTAATCACATCTAATACTTAGATAAGTCAGAAAGAAGGGAACTGCATGTAGGTCATCAGACTGTGTGACAGTGTTTCTCAGCCTTGCCACTATTGACATCTGGGGCTGATTAATTCTTGGAGCGGGGACTGTGCATTACAGGATGCTTAGAAGCATCCCTGATCTCTACCTCCTAGATCCCAGTAGCACTCACTCCCTAGTTGTGAAAACGAAAAATGTCTTCAGGAATTGCTAACCATCCCAAAATGCCCCAGGTTGAGAATGCCCAGTGGTTTGAAGTTTGGCTTTAGCCTTCTTTCTTTTTGGATCCCTTCCTTTTGGGGGGGTCACTTACCTCTAACTGATGCTCTCCACTGGATTTTAAAGTTTGCTGTAAGCCATCTCTTCTCCTTTTTGGAATAAGGCAGTGTATGAAAAAATAAATGCCATAGACATGTGGTCACTGGTGTCAGATGCTGTGAGAGCTGGGACAGTCAGAAGCCTGAGCAAAGGCTGTTGGGTTTGGCAGTGGGTGCTTGCCGGCGACCTATGAGAGAGGAGCCAGGGTGGGGGCCAGAGTGGAAGAATTAATGAGCGAGTGGGTGGCGAGGAAGTGGAGGTGGCCAGCATAGAGGACTCTTTCAAGAGCACTAGGGAGTGACGGGAAGCAGGGTGATATAATGGCAGCCTGAGAACGATGCTGCTTGAGAGAGGTTCTTTTTCAAATTAAAGGCAAGCCATGGCTGGATTTACTCGAGGGCAAGTGTGAGTGAGCTGGCTGGCTTGAAGGACCCCAACTGAAGCACCAATCCTGGGAAGATATGGGATGTAGAGCATCCTAGGAGAAGAGCGGGTGCTTATTTCTCTTAGAGAGGACGGAATGGAAATGGAATCTGTTAAGTTACATAAAATTCTGAGGTGGAGGTGGTAGTAAAGGATGAAAGGGGTACCTTTCAAATGACCTTGAAGGAGTAGGTCATTTCCTTGAGAAGGCTGGGGACTGAGGAAAAGGCCAGATGAACATGAGAATTGAGGATTTGTATAGTTTCTTGGTTTTTAGTAAAACTCCAAGCCTCTCCCCTCAATGCCCCGCCAAATTTAAATGTAAAGATGCATTTAAAACTTGATGTCTCTACTTAATGTGGAAGTACTTCTTTTCCTCAGCAAGCTGTTATAAAACATGTGCGTCTTCCATTTGAAGAGGTATTGGAATTGAGAAAGTGTAGTAGTTGCCCAGTGATTACAAGGATCTCCTGGTGGGGGGTTAGGAAATCCCCTTGGAGTCAGTTGTGATCATGGCATTTACTTAGTGACATTCCATATCCTGGGGACCTGCATGGAGAAGAAAGGATGGCCGGGAATTGGAAAGGGAAGTGAATATGAATTATCAATGCTGCATTGGGGATGATGGAAGGATTTTCCTCCCCTTTTCAATCATTGGAAAAACACTCGGCTCTATGAGGAACAGCCTATAGTACCTGAGAGTACTTTTTGTGTTTATAATGCCTTATATATTAGCTTTGTCCCAGAAGTAATGAAAAACAGCTTCTCTCCTCTTTCTGATCTCACAAAGTTCAATGTTAAGCTTACTGTTCCTTTGTCCTCCACATCAGTCATGTTTCAGGTTCCAGTGGTCTCTCTTAGCTCGGTCTTTGTTATAGACAATCCATTTTGGTTATTTATAATTTGCTGTTAGTTTCCTACCCAATTAAAAAAGACATCACAGATGTCCTATACTGTCTCTTTTGGAAAGTAATTTATAGTCAATATGAAATATAATGGAAATTATTATTATTTAGTAAGTATTCTAGTTAACATTCTATTTTAAGCTATTATTATACAAAGCCAAAAAATGGCTTACAGGTACAAAGTAAAGGATATTACTATGTTGTTTGTTGATTATATATATCACAGAAAAAGTTATAATAAGACTTTTGAGAGAAGGAGTGAGACATTTAATCTATGTCTCTAAACCATACATGGTAATGTCACATAGTTGATGCAGTCATTATAAGGTGTTACAAAAGACCATAGAATAGATGAATCTGCAACAAAAACCCAAGTCATTATAAATATTTATATTCAGAAATCTCATAATTATCATGCTTTTTAAATTCCATACTCTCCAGTTTATATATGACTGACATATAAATGTGTGATATTTATGAAGAATTACTTTTAGAATATTCGGAAGGATTTAACCCAGTAAATTCCCTCATTCTCATGAACACATCACACTATCTGCAGAAGAGAGTTCTATCATAGTAGCAATGGCCATTGAAAATTTAAATGACTCTCTGGAGGAACTGGGAAGCCCTGAAAGATTGCCTAAATTATCAAAGATTCGGAAATGTTCAGCAGAGTTTGTTATCTTTTGTTATATTTGACTTCGATAAAGCAGATACTCTGTTAAGTCCAGTTATTAAAAAATCCAGTCTGATTCAGTATAGGCTAGGATCTACTATAATAACAAATTATCCCAAAGCTTCAATGACTTAAAACAACAAAGGCTGATTTCAGTTGCCCAAGCATACACTTCTATTGTAGGTTGGCAGGATGTTTTTCATAATCCTTTAGTGACTAGGATAATTGAAGGGCCACTATTTCTAATATTGTGAATCGCCATGCTACAAGGGAGAAGGAGGGGGATCTCTATAGAGGGTCTTGCATCAAGAATTAGATGCTCATATT